GTCTTATACACCGAAAAATACGGTAGCTATAAAAACTCCATATGTTACTTGTATTGACTTTCAAAATCTTTATTAAAATTAAAGAAAACTGAGTGTAACGTAACCAAAAGACTTTGAAATCAAATTAAAACTCAACAGCAAATGGGTCCATGTGTTTTAATAAAACAAACAAATCTTTCTTACCTTTTAGCTTATATTTTTTATTTCGCATTTTTGAATTATTCTTACCACACATTACAAACACATCTTCTTACCTTTTAGCTTATATATTTTTCGCACTTTTGATTTATTCTTACCACACATTACAAACAAATCTTTCTTACCTTTTAGCTTATATTTTTTATTTCGTATTTTTAGATTATTCTTACCACACATTACAAACACATCTTTCTTACCTTTCAGCTTATATTTCTATTTCGCACTTTTGATTTATTCTTACCACACATTACAAACACATTTTTCTTACCTTTCAGCTTATATTTCTATTTCGCACTTTTGAATTATTCTTATTACACATTATTACTTTAAACCAAAGGTAATAGCGTGTTACCCGAGTTTTGTTGCTGATTAGCAGAGTTCGAACCCAGGTCCGCGTTTTTGTCAGTGAAATCATCAGTCATCTTGAGCTGATCATCTACAGTAGGTGAGAGAAATGGGAGATAATTCTGAACATACTTGTATACAAACTTTTGAACTTAGTCTGAGTCCATCTTGTTGGCTTATTATAGTTCACGCTACATAACGAAATGTTTAGAAGGTATTAAATACACCGAAAACAAAGTAAGGTAAAATGTGGAATACTTAGTTATCTTTTCACCTCCCAAACAGCTAGAAGACACGAATACTTTTAGTGGTTGCCAAAAACAGATCGTTATTATATCGAGGTGCTTCCAATAAAGAAACTCTTGATTTTCGTGCTTTCTTGAACTTTGACCTAACAAAGTAACCACATTTTAAAAGGTTTTTACTTGTAAACGAAGGTAATCTTTTTCTGTTACATTTATTTATTCGGTATCACGCACAATCACAAAGAACATGAATTATACGTAACACCTTTTCACTTGAATTATACGTAACACCATTTCAAATGACTTAGTATCGGAGTTCTTAGTTTAATTTCATCACTAGTTCTTCTATGGTCCCATCCCCGGACAAACTACGAGGGTTTGTGTTGTATATTTCTTTCGTTTCGTCGTTCGGTGAAAATGAATGTTTTTTGTTTAGCATATCGAATATTGAAATATAACAGCACAACTGTTGGAGTAACGACGGCGTCTAGATTTACTGAAATCATCATTTTGAAGCATTTCTAATGTATCTTCGGTAAACGAAGTTGATTCTAGGAATGTTGTACTATTCTGGGAGTTATAAAATCAAAGATGGCTCTCTTAACCTAAATTACTGCGTTAATACCACCAAAAGAAATATAACTGCTTGATATAAATATGTAATGGAGTACTAATCAAACCAGTCTGTGTGAAATCTTAAAAGTTTAATTCTGTGTTTGTCCTTTAATCACCTCGAGGAATTTATGTTAATAAACAAACTAGAACTGTTATCTGAGGTAAGATGTTATAGCCAGCGCTCTAAAAATGCTTAGTATGTCTTAAACAACCCATTATTAGCCAATTGTCCTGCAAATAAAACAAACACAAACTAGTCTTAATTTTTTGTATTTTCTTTAATAATACATTTTTCCTTCAACTTAAACATTTGAAATAGCAAAGTTGAACTCTTGAATACAGCCAAAAACAAAAGTATTTCTAGTGTTATTAGTTACGTTTTTCTTTTATTACAGCTCAATTTTCTAATTAGCTCTTAATACTCAGTTTGATCTTTTCCTGTGATCACAATCATTTAAATGATATCTAAATCGAAAATGACCGTCATTTACAACATCTATATAATAGTACTGTCTGTTGTCTGTCCTTGTAATTATTTCGCAGGGTTTGAATGGATCTTCATCAAAATTGGTATGGAGGTTCATTAGGTCCAGGCGGGGGTACATACAATTTTTAGTCTTGCATTTTGCGGTTTGAATGGGCGTTCTTACCACTAATTCGCCACCTGTAGATGGATCTTCACCAAATTTGGTATGGAGATTCGTTGGGGAGGTACATACAAGTTTCCAGTTTTGCATTTTGCGTTTCTAATCACTACTTCAGCCCCTGTCAATGGACCTTCGTCAACTTTGGTATGGAGATTCGTTGGGTACATGGGCAGATAAATACAAATTTTCAGTTTTGCATTTTGCGTTTTGCAGTTTTTATGGGTGTTTTTTACATATACGGGAAGCAACTTTTCATGTCCTAAGATAACCTTTCATTAATCACAAATTTACATAACTTCCGTCCCGGGGGTGGGTACTCCAGCTGGTTAAACAATATATCCTTCATGTACGCTAGTCATTCACAGGCACGTGTTCCATTTGCACTATTCAATATAATATAATTTTTTTCATTAATACCTGCTTTAATTGTACAACTCAATTTAACTGTATAAATTAAAACCTACCCTTTTTCAGTAACATTCCCAAGACGGTCAGAGGTACACTTTCGGATATACAACGCTAACATGAGGGATTGACTCTCCGCAGAGATTAAATCGCAGATAGCCATTTGTATAGCTTTGCGCTAAACAACCACCAACAAATATTACTACTTTCACTAATACTTTGTTTAATTGTATTAGTCAATTTTAACTGTTATTGTCGTTCTACAATACTTGTTTTAGTTACAATAGTCAACACGCTGTTAAAAAGGTCTAAAATTTGTGATAAAAATCACGTTAATTACAGATATTTTTTTCATACTTGTGTTAATTTATCCACTATAGATTCCAATTCAGAGGCGTGTAAAAATACCATCACGGCTCTATATTTTATTTCCCATAAATCCAATAGGCTTTTCATTCAATACTAGAACTCGTGAGTCGAGTGGAAGATGTGAGATAAAAGATTCCGACCAGTTCTGGTATTGTACAAAAGGCTTATTGGGCAGTTACAAATGGGAGATAAAAGACAGATCTGAAGTGCTATTTTTATTGGTAAAAAGCATCTGTAATTAAATCATTTTATCATACATTTTAAATCTAGTAATTTATAATGTTTTGTCAGCTTTTGCCATTTGAAACTTATTTGTAAATACCTGAAGTAATTTAGGAATACTTGTTTTAATTACACTAATTTAACTGTTAACTTCCTGAAGTAGTTCAACAATATTTGTTTTAATTTTACTAATAAATTTAACTGTTAAATTCCTGAAGTCGTTCAACAATATTTGTTTTAATTAAACTAACAAATTTAACTGTTAGATACCTGAAGTCGTTCAACAATATTTGTTTTAATTACACTAATAAATTTAACTGTTAAATATCCGAAGTAGTTCAACAATATTTGTTTTAATTACACTAATAAATTTAACTGTTAAATTCCTAAAGTCGTTTAACAATATTTGTTTTAATTACAATAGTGAATTAAACTTAAATTTCTGGAGTCATTTCTTTCATTATGCAATATCCACTCGAGATCTATGAACAGTGTAAAATTAAATAAACAAACACAGGAAAGTGGTCACTGAGTATTATTTTTTACCAAAACCAGTACTTGGATGTACTATTTGGTGATGTACTTTCACAACAAAATATTTTTTACTATAGCATTTCTGACTGAAACTAAACTCTGCTAAGCCTAGTTGACTCTTCTGCACTTAATGTAAAAATGTATTGTTTGTTGACAGGTTTATATACTTCAAATTTGTTTACACTAGTAACGTAGAAATAATACAAATATTTAAATATTTGTTTTTCAAGTTAATCAAAATTCTATAGCTTAAAGCTGTAGGAAAAGTTTTGGTTTTCTATTGTTTGAGATAATTTGATCAAACTCTGTGAACGTGAGATTAAAGAACTATGAATAGCTTGGAGTAAAACGCGAAATACACTTTTATTTAACGGACAAACGTTCGTATCTTTTGTATTTATCGGCTCCTTAACAAAACGACAATTTAAACCCTTTTTTTTTGAACAGCGAATAAAATGTATAGATTCATTCATGACTTAAAGACTTTCATGTTTTGCGTAGATAAATAGAAAGTTGATTATTAAAGGATCATGTTTGTTTCAACAACTGTGAACAACTAATAGTTTCATAAAATCACGAAGTTTTAAAACAAAGGGGCGATTCCAATAATTTTCAATTACGTTCATTGCAACAATTTCCTTGTTCATCTGCCTTAAACTTTTCGCTTGATCTATCAGGTCGTCAAGAAATTAATGTCAGGTTTTGAAACACTTTCATTAACCATCCTCCCAAAAACGTACATCACGTATAACAGTTAAACG